CTGCAGGTTGCTCCCGATAACCGAAGAGACCTGTAGTGCAGCATCAAACCCGGGTCCGAGCCCAGCTGCATTAGGGTGGGCTCCCGAGACACTCCGCAAAGAGGCAGTAACCCTGATTCGGCCCGCTCTCCTCCCGGTACCGGAGTTGCTGCTCCCTCCGGGCCGAGCAGGGAACCGCCACCGACAGCTGTGCGCCATTTTACACTCTCTGCCTGTCTGCCCTGCGATCGGAGATACCTCAGTGGGCGGAACCCTTACCGAGCACTCCACATAAACAACCTCTACCAAGCGGAGCGTTCTCACTGGCCGAGAACATCGTTATGCATGTTGCGGGGCGGAACTGAAGAAACCCCGACAATGCATTTTCTCAGCGGCCCTATTGACTCTGCACGGCTGATTCCAAATCAGGTTCAGGGGCTTTGCCCGGGAAGGAGGTGCGTTTGAATCACCGAGGAGGAATAGACTGATATCTTACAGCATGTGTTGTTTCTTATACCAGATAAACAAGATAAAGCGATAAGTGCGTTTTTTTCCTTCTTTTTTGAGCTGCAGCCAAACCCAGAGATAACAAGATAAGATACTCACTGTAAACAATCTGGGTCACAGTGCGTGTGACTTGAAGCAGGAGACTAGCATGCCACAACATAATAAAGCTATTCGCTTCCATCAAAAGTGCATGCTTAAAAAAAAGAGAAAAAACATACATAATGGAAAAAAAATCACTAAAAATACTTGGCACATTTTGTCCATGAAAGCAAGTAGCCTACTTGTGTGCAAACGGGCCCTGGGTATACTGACCCAGGCAAGATTACCCTCTAGAAAATTTTTACACGTGGTTTTAAAGGGATGGACATGGTGAGAAATAATACTCTGTTAGGCTGTGGCATTTAAACAATGCTCAGGTACTAATCAGCCCAAATTTGGGAAGAAATATCTCCCACACCTTTACAGCACCAGTAGCAGCCTGAACGATTGATACAAGCCAGGACGGATCCATGCTTTTATGTTGTTTATTCCAAATTCTGAACCTGCCATCCAAATGTCACAGCAGAAATCTAGACTCACCAGCCCAGGCAATGTTTTCTAACTTTCTGTTGTTCAATTCTGGTGAGCCTATGCAAACTAACCTCAGTTTACTGTTCTTAGCTGACAGGTGCAGCACTCAGTGTGGTCTTCTGCTGATGCTCTTCTGCATACCTTAGTTGCAACTAGTGGCTATTTAAGTTACTGTTGTCTTCCTTTCAGCTTGAAAGCAGTCTGGCTGTTCTCCCCTGACCTTTCTCATCAACATATTTTCACCCACAAGAAATGCCACTCACTAGATATTTTCTCTTTTTCAGACATTCTCTGTAAACTCTAGAGATAGTTGTGTGGGAGAATCCCAATAGATCAGCAGTTTCTGAAATACTTAGATCAGGCTGCCTGGCTCCAACAGTCATGTCAAGTTCAAAGTAGAGCCAGACTGGTATATCGGTATTAGCATTTTTAATGCCCCCAAAAATTAAAATCGTAAGGAAGAGATGGGAGAAACACCCTTCAATTATGTTGTGAGTGTTGAGGTTTCACAGTCTGTTCACCAGCGGGCACTTGGCAACTTCCCTGTTGGTAATACTTACATGGAACACCAGGAACACAACCAGCCAGCACATAATCAAGGAATCCATGACTTGTGACAATAAAACAAGATCATTTTCAAACAGCGTAGTTATGTTATCTCTGTAAGGACTCATAAATAACTACACATAAGTGATAGGGATATCTGTTTATGTTTAATGTGTAACACCTTTTTTAAAACACCTAGTATTGTTCTTAAAATCAGTCTAGATCAAAGGGACTTGTAAATCACTTTTGTTCTCCATTCAGATGCTCAGTTTGAACTTGAGCAGGTCATCTTGGTCATACCTCATTTACTTTAATTCTATCTTTTACCCCTCTGTTCAACACTTTGGCCGACACTTGATGTCTTTTAAATGTGCTATACAAATACAGCTGACTTGACTAAATTCACTGATTTTCTGCCATTTGGTTGGCTGATGAGATATTTGCCTTAATTTGCAGTTGGCCAGGTGTAATTAATAAAGTGGCCAGTGAGTGTAAGGTTTAATTGCACTTCTAGTCCCTGTCCAAGTAAAGAAGACATCATTTCATGTGTTCTTATAACCTGACAGTGCCTCACAATGTGTATTACTGTTCTCAAAGTAAACGTCGTCATTTGTCACGAATTCAATCTGTCACATGAGAAAGAGAACGTAATTTCGTACATAACTTAGATTAGTTTATTTCTTAATCATAATGTACATTGAAAATAAACATTTTATAATCACAAATAAAACAAAAAAAAAGTGTTTTAATTAAAATCATGTAATCGGGTGGTAGATCCTCAATACAGAAATCAGAGCATGCCAACAAATACATAATCACCTTCTTACACGTTACCATCTCGCACACAATTGAATTAAAACCATTTAATTCAAATACAACCCAAGAGCATGTTACCTCCTTCTGTTGTTCTTCCCCTATATTCTACTGCTCAGCTTCACATATTCCTCAAAGAAATAAACTCAATCATGTATGTTAAGAGTATGAAACAGATCAGCTGACATGTACTGCAAGGCTCTTGGTTTTAGGCACCGTGTCTATTGTTCATCTTTGCCAGCACGTTTTCACACGAAGCTTGTACACAACACAAGTCCTGTGTTTTAAATGCAAGATCAGGATGCTTCGGTTAAAATATCATGAAGGTTAATTCAGAGGGTGACAGTGACAGTTATGTTGTACACAGCCATTCAAAGTTATTAAACTCCATATCTCTGCCCTTAAATCTCAAGAAAAGTGAACACCACTGATGGCCAGTGTGCCACAGATGGGAAAGAGAAGCACTTTTGCAGTTTGGAGCAGCTCCGGTGAACTGAAGGTGCAGAAAAGAATGAAATGATCTCATTCTTGTTTGAACTCTTTCACCCCATAAAGATGACATTTCACAACCTGCCCAGTACCCTTAATGATAAGTTTTGACAGCTCAGTATATATCAATTAAAACAACCATTGCACATGCAGAGGCCACCCTCGTTAACGTCTAATGCAAACTAGGGCTGCCACAAACGACTATTTTGATAGTCAACTAGTCATTATTTTTGCGATTAGTCGACTAATCAGATCATGCATCCATTGGACGTAAAACTACAGCTTATTACACCAGCATGCATCTGCTCTCATATAATCATTAGCTTACAGCTTGAAGTGTTTAAAGTATGTTCTAACTGAAAATAAAGACAAGATGATAGTTTATTAAATTTTAATGAAATTTGCAGATTGTCTCGGTGGGGTTTAATAAACTCAGCCGTCTGCTCTTTGCTCCCTAAAATATAACAGGACACTGGAATAAATTCTCTACCATCTCACTGTTTAATCAGTTTTCTGTTTGATGTTTATTCAGCTGTGTGAAAACTAGAACTACTCAGGAACAAATAAAAGTCTAAGTGACTCATATATCATGTTTAACCTGAGTAGTGAAAGACTGCGGGGGTCTGACAACGATGTGCCGGAAGTTCGGAGTTCTCGCCGTCTCGAGTGAGCCTTGACCACCCGGTCAGCTATCAAGCTGGTGGGTAACAGATGTGTCTGAAAACGTCGGAGCACTTTTGCAAATATGTGATGTGTTGATAAATCGAGCAGATATTTGAAGTTCACACAGCTACATTCTCACCTGAAAATATCTTAAAAGTTTATTTTGTGACCCAGAAAGAGTAATATTAAAACTAAGTAGCTGCCGCCATTGTTGGAAACTGGAATTGGCTGAGCCATAGTATGAATTTTGGAATAGGTTGGGCCGGAAGCATACACCCGACCCATCCTTCAAATCTGGGGAAAAGGAGGACGCATTTGGAGAGGTCCTCAAATTTCATTGTGTCTTCGTAACGTAATCGGCCTCAGAAGGATGTGGTCTCTGAATTTGGACAAAGCTACGATACAGAAGACAGCTTCTTCTTCTTCTTCTTCGGCATTTAACGGCAGCTGGCATCCTTGTAGATGCATTGCTGCCATCTTCTGTTTCAGTCTGCTTATTCCTGCATCTTTCAGGATATTAAAAAGCTTCAAACGCCGCGACGACTATAAAATTTGTTGTCGATGATTTTGATAGTCGACGTAATCGTGACTAGTTGACTAATCGTGGCAGCCCTAATGCAAACTCAGTCATTTAGGCCTGAAATATGACAGAAATCACTCAGTTCAGAAAAGAGCTTTAAGGGTTACTCCTAGTAGGCTTTAAAGGGGTAAAGAGTTAAGATAAGTGTTCCAAAGCTTTGATGTAACTCAAATAAGAAATGCAAGTAACAACACACTCATAGATAACCATGTTGCTGCTCTGTATTTCTACTAAAATTAGGCATTTGTAGGTATTAACTGAACTATCAGCCATGTTTATTTCCCCCAGAAGTATATTCTCTGCCTGTTTGATGAGAAATAGAACAGCTGGTACATTTTTTTAAAAAAATTAAATATCCAATAAAAGACTCTGAGATAGTGCCCGAGTTGTCTAAATGCCTTCTCTTACTTGATTTTATTCCTCTTTAGGCATGAGCAGTTATTTTTCAGCAGCTTTATTCTCTAAAAAAAGCTAGACTAAATAAGAGTCAATTATCCATTTGTGCCAAATTGTAAATAATGTTTTCTTAATGCTGGCTTTGTTTGCTTGTTTGAGTTGCCCCCTGGAGATTTCACACGTCAGCTGTAATATCCATGAACAACTCTGTCACAGCAAAACAGATTAAAGTTAATATTTAAGGAGATTTAATATTCAATCTGACATCTTTGAGACCTAAAATATGATTCAGATTGGTGCATTTTATCTATATGGTCTTTATCCTTTAACCTTAATTGGCTGGTCTTATATAATCCTGATGAGATAATAAGTGCTTCACTACAGACAGGTGCTTGAAGATCTGAAGAGCCTTATCGATACGTCTTTAAATACAAACAACTGTTTAGTGCTACACGTGTCTAATTACAATGATCAAGTTTATTTTTTTGAAAGCCTCCAAGTAACCCTATGTTCTAGTCAATGAAATAAAAGTCATACACACAATTAAATTCAGACTCAGCTATGCCTCACTTTTAATGCTATTTACAAGTTGCGATTGAACCCAAGAGTGCAAACATACGGGGTGTTAAAGCACTTTGAAAGGCAGTGTGTGAAATACTCTTTATGAAAGTGAAGTTAGATAATATGACAAAAATACTTACCTTCCGGTATAAAGGGCCAGGTGGTTGGACAGGAGTATGTACAGTACATTAAAGTGCTGCTGAACAGATATTTCTGACTATATTAACTCATTAACACAGTACCCAAGGATGTATCACTCTGCTAGTGTTTTCAATAGAGCCTCACGGGAGGAAAAACAGCCACCGTGTATGGATTTTGAAGTTCTTACCAGCAGGTGGGCTACAGTTTGCCAGGACTGTTGTCACACGGACGATTTATTAAGAATGGAAGCTGCAGGGAAAGGCTAATGCAGTGTCAGCTGGACTGGAGGAGTCAGAATAAATCCAAAGAAATAAGCACACTGTGGATCTGCCATGAAGCAAAGGAGCAAGTGCGGCCAGGTAAGAAAAATAACAGCGCAACGCTGTTTGTCACAGTGAGATCAGGGCTAGCCGCTGGGCCCCAACTGAAGCTTTTCTTGCTTATGCTTCTCCAGCCACTGTAAGATCTGCTGTTTGAGTTCATCATTTGGCCTGATTTGGTCCATTGTCAGAGGACTGCGGTTGAAGGGGTCTGTCTGGTCACTAAAAGGCAGACACAATTAATAAATGGTCATGACTTCTATATACCAACTTCATAAAGATGAACACATTTTCCATCCATCCATGGAATTTGCTTTTTTTTTTTCCACATCTGCGTGGATTCTCTCTAGCTCCTCTGGCTTCCTCCCACAGTCCAAAGAAATGCACGGTTTAACTTAATTGTGACTGGCCATAGATGTGACTGTGAGTCTGAATGGTGTTTTGTCTGTTAGCCCTGCGATAGACTGGTGACCTGTCCAGGGTGTACCCTGCCTTTCGCCCTATGACCCTGAATTGTTTAAGCAGAAGAAAATGGATGTATGGATGGCTAATTAGATGGCTAAATCTAGCCTGCTTCGCTCTTGCAACAGAGATGTATGTGTTTGTGTACACATGTATAATTAAGGTCGTGCTTGTACATCTGCCTCTTTGAAATGATGTGTGTGGAGAAGGGCTGCACTGGTCCATCATCATCTCCCTATTTCTGTCTGTCGATTCTACTTTAAAATAGAACTTAATGTATCGTTTGCTGCTATTAGAGCATCTTCTCAACTATTAACCAGTGGGCTTGTATGTGTGTTGGGGAAAGAAGTTACTCTGTGTGGGGAGGGCATGATAAATGGTGCAGGAGACATACAGATGCAGATTAAATGTGTTAAAAGAACTAAATTAGGCCTAAATTTAAAACCAGTAAAAAGAAAAAACCCTAAACAAAATTTTTTTTAAAAGTTACAAAAAATAGCCCAGCATATCTTCAGACTTCAAAGTGTTTTAGCTGTTCAACTGATTAATTACAGTTGGCTTAATCATTTACAGTTGTATGTGAACAAGGTTCTCACACAGGTATAGTCAACCTTCTGTTTTATCACACCGGAAGAGGGAAAGAAACATCCACATATGTCTGGATCATATAGGTTATGGGCAATCTCACAGATGAATCATCAGACAGTGTAGAGATCATCCAAACAGAATACAGTCATGTAAAAAAATAAGGTTTTTACAAGACAAACCCTATAATTGCCACTTTGTAAAGCCACTTTTAACAGCAATAACTTAATGAATCGTTTTTTTCTGTATGACTATCAGTGTCTTGCATTGTAGAGGAAGTTTGGCCTACTATTCTGTGCAACTTTGCTTCAGCTCCTTAAAATTTGTAGTATCTGTTTATGTACAGCTCTCTTAAGGTCATGACACGCCAATTCAATCAGGCTGAGGTGTGGACTTTGACTGGTCCACTGCAACACCTTTATTCTTTTCTTTTTCAACCATTCTGTCATAGATTTGCTGCTGTGCTTGACACCATTGTCATGTTGCATTACCCAGTTTAGCCTAGCTTTATCTGTCAGACAGATGGCCTCACATTTGACATAATATTTTGATATACAGAGGAGTTCACAGTTGACTCAATGACTGCAAGATGCTTAGGCCCAGTGGCTGCGAAACAAGACCAAATGATCATCTCTCCCCCACCGTGCCTGACAGTTGAAATGAGGTGTTTGGTTTTCACCAAGCCTGGCGCTGTGCATTATGATCAAACATCTCCACTTTGGTCTCATCTGTCCAAAAGACATTGTTCCAGATGTCTTGTGATTTCTTTAGATGCATTTTTGCAAACCTAAGCTCTGCTGCAATGTTCTCTTTAAAGAGAAGATGCTTCCTCCTGGTAGCCCTTGCAAACAAACCATACTTGTTAATTTTTCCCCCTAAAGGGAAGGAGTAAATAATCGGTTCATTTTTGTTTGTTAGCAGTGGAGCATCTACAGTTTTCAAGATATTATTTTGTGTGATGGTAGACAAGATGATAGATACCATCACAAAAGCTCAGTGTGATTTAATTTTGTTGAAAACTGAGTCAAGGTCATACCAAATGTGAAAAATCTGTAAAAACTTACTGACTTACCCACAACTTTTTATGGATCGTTTTCAAATCTCACAATATATTAGGCCTTGGAGGACACGAGTGACATGAGGGGCAATCACTCCCCCCCACACACAGAGCCATATAGGTTCAGATTTTTTTTTCCCCCTTAATAAGAAACACCTTCATTTAGAAACAGCATATGATGTTCATTTGTGCTATTTTTGTCTAATATTTAAATTTGCTTGGTGATCTGAAACATTTAAGTGTGACAAACATACAAAAAAAGGAAATCAAGAAGGGTTCAAACACATTTTCACACCATTATAAATGCTTCAGACCAACAAACTGCCAAAACATCTCATTTTACAGCAGCGGCCACGCTTGCTTATGATCAGTCAGTCAATTGCCTTTAATTAGCAGCACTTAGCTACTACTTGGAACATGGAAGCAGGGTGAGGGTGTTCTCATTTTTTCACAAGAAACTTTCTTTTTTTTTTTTTTTACATGACTGTACTTTCAATTCTGGGCTTTGTAAAAAGGAACAAACCTGAGGAGGTGTCTTGCTATAGTTGAGCGGTCTACTGTTACATTGGAAGAGGGGAGAAGAACAGGGTCCAGCATCAGGGTGGACATGATGGGATCCAAGAATTCATCTGGAGCATCTGCATATGTCTCCTCTTCCTGCTGCTGTCTGTCTGCATGAGACTAAATAGAGGCACAATGGAAACAAACATTCATGAGTACCTCCTATCGTCTTTTATTACTCTGGTAGCCTCTCCAAGTAAAATGATACCTTTATTTTATCAGCGAGGAGTCCAAAAGCTACAATCATATCCCCAGGCTTGTTGATCTTTTTCAATACTCTAATGGTCTGGGAGAAAAGAGTAGGAGAATACGATCGCCCATCCTTTGGGACAGTGGCACAGAAATTCTCCTCATCGCTGTTGGAGAAACAAAGCAACAGTCTGTTTCAGGATCAGATTTAACAGGGATTACAATTAAAGAAATGTAAGTAAACTGATATTTTTCTCTGTAGAAGAATGTTTTAAACATACCCCAGGTTTAGGTAGATTGTGCAGATGTCAGAAACGAGCTGCTGAGGTTTGAAGTCAAACTCACTGAAGTCCTTGACTTTAAGAGCGCCCATTTTAGGGCCCGCCAGGTGCTGCAGGAAGTAGTTAAGCATGGAGATGATCCTCTCAGCCAGGAATGGGTGCACAAAGATACCCTTAATTTCTGAGAAAGAGAAAAAAAAGAAAAGCAAAAGGCAGAAATAATCACAGTGAATGGATGAGGACAACAATTAAATGGGTTCATGAGTGTAGTGGAAAGGATGTGTAGCGGTCTTTTCTGCCTGACCTGAGGTGAGGAAGGCCAGTGTGCCGATGGTCTCATTGGACATGATGTTGTGGAAGCGTCCCAGCTGTCCAAACATCTGCAGGCTGGACTCTTTCTCTCTTCTGGCATCAGGGGCCAGGCCTTCCCAGTCCCCTCGATCCCTCTCCAGCTGCAGAATCTTGATTTTACTCAGGTACTACAGAGGAAAGAAGATTCAGCTGAAAAACGGAGTCTAAATCACATCAAAAATATCTTTAAAAACAATAAAGTTATTAATAATGATGCTACTATAGAACCGTTTTAGAAAGAGATATGCAGTAGATGACAAGTACTGATAGATTAAACTAGATTTCACCATCAGAATATTGTATAATGTCAGAATAATATTCCAGCAATGTTCAGAAAACATCACATAATACAGAACCAAGGCTGAAGGTTGTGAAGTCAAAATACATCATGGTCTCACCTGAATGGCCTCATCCAATAGGAAGATGGCATCATTCATCAGTAAATTGAGGAACCTGAGGAAAAGAGGGGGGTTCATGGCCTCCAGGTTTTCAGATGCATAGTTGGCCAAATGCTGAAATAAAACATACCAAACTAAATTAAACACATTTATGCCAGTTTGCAGGTATGCACTATCCATTTGTTCCCTTATTATGACTACATGGTTAAAAGGGTTTATACCAGCATGTGTTAAGTGTTAAGCAATTAATTTTATGTTAAAAAACTAAGGAAAAACTTTCCACTTTCACTCTGTCTCTTAAGCAGTAAGTGGTTCTTCATTGCTGGCTAGCTCCCCTGAAACAGGAAAATCCACCTGTTGGCCATAATGATGGGGTGTGTAGAGCACTTTATAAAGAGAATAGTGTGGAGAAGAGAGTAAATCAGGTGCCCCAGTGGTTCGTTGACTGAATTCGACACTGTCCCCGCCTTGTGTGACTTTTTCCACTCAGTGGAATCAGTGCTGGCAGAGCAGATCACCACAAGATCCGAGCAGCACTACGTCGTGCCATTTTAAGGTGCGATTTAACCCCCAGTTAAATGAAGGTTAAGTCTTTTTTTCCTTCCAAACACACCCAACAGTTTACAACATGATGTGTTATTATATGCACATAACACTACAACCACAACTAAGTTTGCAACAGTTATCAACAGGAAGGGAAAGAGGAAGGGGAAAAAATACTGCCACCTTACACCCTTCTTCACTTTTGATTGATGTGTGCAATGGACCAAAATCAAACAAAAAGAAACAAAAAATAGGAGCCTTCAAAGAAGAGTCGATAGAATTTTTGAAAACCTGATTTCCTTGTCTTGCTTTAAAAATTCATTAGGTAAACTGCGCTCAAAATGCCTGACCACATTATCTCATGGAGTGAATTGCTTCTTACTAGAAGTGAGGAAAACTGAAGCCCGAATGTAAGCAAAGGAGAGCACGAGGTGGCTGCAGAAGAAAAGTCAAACCAAGGAATTTCATGTTGCATGGCTAAAAAGTACAATCATCACACATCTAACATCTGAAATTTATATCTAGAACATCAACATTACCTTGATGCTCTCTCTGTAGTTGTCTTTTCCCCACATGTATTTAAGAGCTGGATACATAGGCCTTCTGTAGTTGAATTTCTGTTCAAACTGATGAGGATCACCTGTGGGGGGGGACCAGAGGAAACCTTAAACCCCGCATGTTTCAGCTCTCCTTCCTGTTTGCTTACACTTCAGAGTTTATCTCTTTATCTTGTTGTGCAGAGCATGTCCAGGTGAGCACACAAAACCTAGCTTCTTCACTGTTCACAAAAAGACCCTAAATAATACTACGCCTCACCAAGCCGAGCTCTTTTAATCACAGATGGTCTTAGTAACAGTTGACAGTTAACTTAACAGGAATGTTAACAAACAGCTGTTTCAGCTTTCCACCTACAGATCTTTAGAATCTAGAAAGTCTAAACTGTGTTGTACCTGTGAATTCAATGTCTACAAACACAGTAATGAGGGCCTCAGCCAGCTGGGGTGCGTGTCTATAGGAGCAGAAAACTCTTTCTCTCTGGAACACGATTGGCTGAGCAGCACCAGGGGTCACCGGCTCCATGTGGGGCATCACTGCCTCCAAAACCTCGGCAAGCTTTGCTCTTAAATGAGGGTTCTTCATCCTGTTGTCCAAACAAGACATGACAAATCTGAACGACTCTTCATTTCATCTGACTGAAATCACAGACATGGTCGATAAGGTCACTGACCTCTCTACGTTACCCATGAAGACAGTAATAAAGTTTAGAATCTGCTCTAGACTTTCTGCAGACGTCTCCAGGATGTCTTCTGCAAACCGACGAAGGAAGATGAAAAAATCTCCCAAATTTTCTGCAAAAAATTCTGACAGACAAAATGCAGATTAATGACTATCGTGTGAAATGCTCAATATTATTGAGATGAGTGACTAAAAACTGCGATATTGCATGCACAGATGCAGTCATTTCAAACCAGTCTGTAGTGTCTGCTGTGAATGAATCGCATGTACAAAAGCTTGCAGTGATTTACAAACTCACACCTTGAACTTTGACAACAAAAACGCAATTAAATGATCAGTGATGTTATTTATTACATGCCGGTGGGGTGTGGTAACATTCCGTCAAAATGATGTTTGCATGACGTTTTATGAAGTGGGGTAAGGCTTTTTAACACAACGTTCACACCTTCAAATTTAAGGAGGCGAAAGAAAAACACCTGATCCAACTCAATCCTGAGAAAATTAAGAGAAATTAAAAGGCTGAACATGTTGGCCCAGTATGACAAAAAGTAAACCTGAGTGTTTCACCCCATTGTATTTACTGTATAGTGAAATATCTGACGTACCAGGTACATAGCAGAGCATCGTGTTCTGCAGGGAGGGCAGGGGAAAACTGAGTGCTACATGTTCAGGCCCCTGGTTCCCCATACTGAGCTGAACGAGCAGAGCAGCAGTGGAAGCTTGTAGGTTAAGGCAACATTGCAGCATGGCAGGTTGTGTAGTGGCAGCTTTGGTTGAGAGATAGACAATCATCAGGCGCTCAAACTGCTCCAGGAGCTGCTCCGACATTGGGCTGCCTGTTCGCTGGGCCTCCTGCCACGTCACCTGGAGCCGGTGGAGAGACTGGCTCATCTTCACCATCTGCTCATGGAGTCTGCATGCACACATTATGCATGCAGACAAGTGCACAGACACAGTGGGAACAAGATAACATACGTTGGAAGTCTCAGTATTCTCTTTAGCTTCTATATGGAAAAGATCTGCGTTTGTCTGACTGTGTTTACCTGTGAAAGCCTAGATGCTGGGTGAGTTGTGTGAGGATGAGGTTTTCAGTCAGAAGGCTGTAGGACTGCGCCGACTCCATCGGCTGCTGGGGAGGCACAGGGATCAGGCAGGTCTCCTTGTCAAGACCTGACATAAGAAAAAGTGGACAGTTTATTTATTACCAAAGGCGTTAAATTAACAATCTTGAAACCATTATAAATAAGGGTCACTGACATCCAGTACACTGACCTCGTGCATGCACATTGCGATTCCTCCTCTCTTCCTCACTCAGCTCTTTGAGTGCGCAGTAGGTTGGGTTGAAGGTGAGCAGTTTAGGTGAACGTGGCCTGCAGAAGGGCTGGCACAGCTTCAGCAGAGCTGCACCCAAGTTCAAGAAAAATGCATCTGAGGCGTACATCTGAAAGAAGATCTCCGGCATCTGATTGGCCCAGATCTTGGCTCGGCCAGCATTAGCTTGCAGGCAGCTGCCCAACCAGGTGAGCAGCAAGTGGCGGGTCTCACCAGACCGCTGGAGCAAGTTTTTCAAGATTTGGTGCAGCTTGTCATGAAACTGGCCCATAAACTGCAAACCAGTGAGAGAAGAAAAGGTCATTGACTCTGGTGTATTTTCAGTTTGGCAAACAGGCAAACAAATCAGGAGCAGCAAATGAAAAAGAAATCGTTTACCTGGTGGATGTTGGCCTCTTGGACCTTTGTTTCCTGGGCGCTGGAGCGGGAAGGGTTAAGGAAGTAGCCGTGCCCTTCTACCACACCTGGGGTTTTCAGCAAGCAGGATATATTGAATACTGTCCCCAGTAGGCTTTTCTGGTACTGCAAACCATTAGCTGGGTCTTTGGGCTGGATGTGTTCAACGAGTACCTGTGAACATAGAAAAAAGAGGATTTAAAATCGTCTGCTGTTGTCAGAGGGTGCACAACATTACCACAACATTCGCTAAAAGTCTGTCTCTGTACCTTGGCAATATCTTTATGGTGGCTGAAATAGAGGAGAACATCCAGGTAGGAGTAGAGAAGAGGCTGGCACAGGTCCAAGTCCTTGACACGTCCCTGGAAGATGTCGAACACCGGTACTATAACCTCCTCAAAAGTCCGCACCTCCTGATCAGACAGCAGGCCAGCAATGACCTCCTCCACAAATTCAACCACTTCGTCTGGATCTGAATCACAGCAGAGACATTTAGGCAGAAAACTTTACACATAACACTTATAACTTTACTCAAAACTCAAGACAAAACAGTTGGGCCCAGTCCATGACCTACGTGCTCCATTGAAGCTTTCCAGCAGCAGGTCCAGAAGTTGTTCGTAGACATTCTGGCTGATGTAGATCTCTGGTGTGAGCAGGACTGTTCGTGTGTTAGAAACGGTCAGATTCTTACAGCGAACAGCAAACGAAAGTAACTTCTCTGGTACCTTTGTGATCTGGAGGTGAGATAAAAAGAAAGTGAATGAATTATGGAAAAGTGTGGGTTATTTTTATGTTCCAATTACTTAGAATACTCTATTAACAGATGGCCATCTCTAAAAATAGTACCACTAAAGAGCGACAATTACAATCATGCAGAGGGGGGAGAAAAAACAAAAACCCAGTTACCTCTTCCTTAGCCCTCTGATAACAAGCAAAAAGGTAAGGGATGGCACATTTCTCTCCAGCATCCCGGTCAGCAGACAGGTTAACAGCACTGCATGACGTCATATAGATGAGCTGGTTTCCCGGCTCTAGCAGCAGCAGACGGTTAAAAAGGGCCTGGAGGACAAAAGAAGAAGCATCACTGACACAAATCAGTCTGACCAACACATTTCGAAAGCCCCTAAAACAACGAAGTCTTCATGTCAGGCATTTTCTTTATGAAAATCAATTTTTACGCAATGCGTCAAAATGTAATGTTTTTGCATCTGATGGAATACGAGGTTTCTTCAGCCACTTTGCCAGACATGTAGAGGTTCACGGTAAGGTGAGAAATGAGACGGAAGAAAAAAAGTGATAAGATTAAAAACACTTTATTGACATTTGACCTGTTCTATGTTGTCCATGTCCAGCCAGTCCTGCCCATCTAGATCTGCAGCCATCTCCTCCAGGTAAACACACCGAGGAGGGATCCCATTACCTCCTCTCAGACTAGGGTCACCTAGGGGGAAAATAAAAAAATAAAGTCAATTAAGATGTTTTTACACATGGCAACTTATTATCTCTTAGACTACGTGCACTGAATTAACTGGTGCTGAGAAATAGATCAACAGTCCAACAAATAACTGCTACATTTCCTCAACATCATCACTCATCCCTGAGTAGTGGTGGAGAGACTCACACAATAAGACCTCACAGTAGGGATGGTTTTTATATTGTCTTAAAAGGTGCTGAGTCATTTGTTACTCACAGGACAGCAAATCAAGACAGTGTGCTGCATCCAATAATACCTCTAATAACAGAGCTCGGTACTATTTAGGAGAAACACACTCATCACCCAGCACCTGACTGCCTTTTAGATCAAAAGAAGGAAAATCAGCTGACAATATGGCATGCAAGACTTTAGTCTGCACAAGCCTCTCACGCACAAGGTTTTAAATAGTCCTACCTTAGGTATTTAGTATTCAAAGGTATTGGTGATAGCTGACCAATTAAAGCAAATTCTATATCATTTTCACACTGATGCATTTAATTGATGTCATTATTACGAGGTTTACATTATAGTGAATCTGGATTGCTATAGTTCCATGTCTCCCCTCCAGATATAACACACTTACAACACAGATTTGACCAAGCGAGCACATAAGTTTGTCCACCATTTTTGACCTGCTTTGAATTAGATGTGTGTGGAGCTGATCCATCATCATCATCATCATCATCATCAAATGAGAGAAAATGGAGTATTTCTAACTTAGGGGCTGATTTTTAAATCAGAGCTTAACATGACTGAATTTGCAGAGACACTCCTTTATCTCATCTACTTAAGTTTTTCCCCCCCTGTTGGTGTTTCTGTGGGTTAAAAACTTGGCCGTGTGTGGGTATAACCTGGAAAGAGCACAGGAGACGGCTGAGGATGGCCAGCAAATGTTATAACCTAATACCATTTTAGCCGTTTGCCTCATATCCGCCCACTCAAGTTATTACTTACAGTAAAGCTAAATCAATCAGCATAACATGTCAGTGTTTGAACATGCCTTTATATTGGAAGTGCGATGTATAATCCTGGTATGTGTGTGTGCTTCTCTTCCACACATCCATCTTTTGTTTTTTCTCTGTGTCACGGCCACACACTGTACAATATGGTGGGTGGATAGTCCTAAAATAATGGGTGCATGTTAAGCTCCTCTGACTGCCACCCAGCAACGATGCTATTGGTCATCGGCAATGCCATTGGGGGTTTAGTATAACTGGACTCTGGATCAATCACCCAACCCTAGTAGGGCTTAAGTCCCACAGATACAGCCCAAATTATTTTAAAAAGTTTAAAGTTTACATATCAGCATGTGACAAAAATCATACAGCCAGCCAGGATTAGGAGCTAGAAGTACTGCAGCAGTGAAACCTCTATGGTATGACTCTCACAGAGCCCTAATTTCAACACTGGTGGGTCAGTCTGAAATTAACTGATGAGGGAAAGAATGGTCATTTCAAAATTGATATAATGCATTTAATTTTGTACCTTTTTGGCCCTTTTTTGAGTTTAGAAACCACAAACAATACTAAGAAGTAACATGAATAGATGTTTTGATCCATATTATCCATACTGAGTTAATACCCAGGGGCCGTGCAAATCACAGTCAACTTACTGTTGTCCAGAGTGATGAGAAATATTCGCTGGATCATGTGATTGACATTGAGCTGCTCGCACAGCTCCTGCCGGGACCGGAAGGAGCGGCTAATCTCTGCCACAGAGTCGTCATTGTCATCAACGCTGTCTGAAACCGAGTTTTCTGACTCCGACTGGCTCTCACCCGAGTCCTCCACTGTGAAAGCACATACAAAAGCCAAACATGAAGCAGCAGGTTAGCATAGCACAGACAGTCCAATAAATTAATATTTTGGCTAGTTTAAAAATAGATAAATCTCATCCATGCTACAAACTGGTGATAAAACTGCCTTTTTCGAACAAAAAGAAAATCGAGAAAAGTTTCTAGGATCTAAAAATGATCTTGACTGATGGCTAAAAATCAGGGGGCAAGTTACAGAAGGGCATAAAACTGCTTCCATCTTGACATTTTTCACTGTATGAAATGTCATTAAGAAATGCAATTAATGGGACAGAGGATGATCTGAAAGACCAAGAAAACTCTCAAAAATAATCTCTGATACAGAAGTGGTGGTGCACCGTTTTCATGCAAAGACCTTTGGTATAAATAACATGAATTTGGAAACACAGTCTGAGAAAAATCATCTTATTGTTCATGAAGTGATACATAGGTAACACTGGAACCCTGCTGTGTGCAGCGGCTTTCAAGAGAAATCACTAGAAGAAAAACTTACCTGGAATTTCATCACAAAAATCAACATCTGAGATAAACAAGTTACTCTGGAAGCAAATGCTGTGACTGTTGCATGGGGATATCCTCCTTTGGGGTGGAGCTGCGTGATTTACAGAAAATGCACAGATGCAGGCATGCAGTTGCTAAGGTCCATTTGGGTCTACTGATAGAAATGGTGTCATTGGGCAGTAAGCAGAAAGATCCATTCTTGAATTTTTTTTGTGATAGCATGGAGTCATCTGTCAAGACTTTCTATTACAATGTGCATTAACTACACCTGTGCCCCTGGGGCGGACTTCAAGCCGACCTTATTAACGTATTCCAGGAATAGCTAGTCATCAGCAGTGTCTGCAGCTGTCCACACAACAGAGTATAATCAACTTTTACATATCAGCACACTCAGACAAGCTGGCTTCTATAAAAGGACGTGACCTATGATTATCTACCTCAAAGCCTACACACTTTAATTCCAGACAATGTTAGGAGAAGTTGGGATTCTGTCCAAAGTAACACACAACACAAATCAGTCTACTTCAGATATGTTCTGACTGCTTCTTATACTGTATGAAATGTGATCATTCTACTCACGTGGTGGTTGAGTAGAAAGCTGTTGAGGTTTCTGGCCTGATGCAAACTGTTTGGCATCAGCCAGTGAGCTGAAGAGGGCAGCAAAGGGGTTGCGGGAGATGTTCTGGTTGTTGTTGCCCTGGTCAGTCATCTCATTGGGGCTCAACACTTACTCCATCCAAGATCCCAGCTCTAGGGACTAGCTATCTTTTAAAAAAAAAAAAAAAAAAAAAAAAAAAAAAAGGGGGCAGATGGCAATTTCAGCACACTTAAATGAACAGTATCATCATCACACACAAACAAGTGTATTTTTGTTTCGTTTGGTCACTGTTACTTTGATTTAATATGCAGATCTTCATGATGTTGGCCACTTTACCAAACTCATCTGTCCAGCACACTCAAATTCAACATGTTTTACTGTCAGCACGTTGTTGCCTTCAGGGTACAGTTGCACAACCTCAAGTACTATTAAAGAAGGCAGAGCCTTAAGGGACCCAGTAGCTCTGCTTTAATTTGTCACATGACTGTCTGGAGGCTAAATGCACTTTTTGCACCTTCGTCACACCTCCCTCTGCACCTCCCTCATCTCTCCCTACAAATATATTCTGAAAATGACACAATTAACATTCCTTTTAATCTTAAGTTGTTAAATTGCAAACACTGGCTTAAAATAACATCTTGCTATTTAGGGCTTCTCACAACATTTTTGGTTTTAGTGTGTTTATCTTACATATTTTACATCATCTTACATATTAAGCCAGTATATAAGCTATAGCTCTTTTGCACACATCTCTTTTTCAAATCTCCATGTTTTGTCTCCTTTTCTGTCTTCATTTATTTATTTGTATTTATATGTTCTATTTCTATTGTATATATTCATCAGCATCTGTGGGTGGACAGCAAAGAAAGAATTTCATTGCACAGAGGAATGCCTTTTTCTCTTGTGACACATGACAATAAACACTTTGAATATTGAATCTTAGTTTCACAGCTTAATGGTCATCATAACTTTCTTTTCATCTTTACAAGGTAATAGAGTTATTAAATATTATAGGTAGTAAATATTTCAGTGTATTACATTTAAACAGCAATAATTTCCTACATAGAAAAACTACTAGTGCCCACCAAGGACATGTTTTTTTTTTTTCTACACAACAATGAGACACGTCGAGGCATACTGTATATGAGAGCAAGAACTGTATGTAAGACTCCAGTGACAAACTGGAGCTCCAACAAAGCCAAATATTCAAGAAGACTGTTCCTGCTTAAGGTGGAAACAACAAACTTGTTTCACCACTTGAGGGAAAAACACAGTGAAGTACTACCAGACTATAAAGGAAGAGATTCAAGCAGCTGGTGATGTGAAACCCAAAAATAATTATGACACCTTGTTTCAGTGAATTCACACTTTGAATTAGGTAGTACATCATCAGTGACAGGAACTCGATGCAAAAGAAGGGCAAAGAATGCCCTTCATTTACTTATAGTTATAAATACACCTGACTGCAAGCATCAATAAAACATTTACTATGTTGTTTTTTTCATCATAAATATCATTACTGCAAACTGTCTTGAAATACTCAGCATCTCAAACTGAGTGGCTTGGAGACACTGTTCGAGTGACAAGGCTGAGGTGGTTTGGACATGTGCAGAGGACGGATAGTGGATATATCGGATAAAAGGTTTTGCACATAGAGCTGCCAAGCAAGGAGAAAAAGAGGAAGACCACAGAAGAGTTTCATGGATGCAATGAAGGACCTGCAGATGGCTACTGTAACAGAGGAAGAGGAGGATGCAAGGAATAGGGTGAGATGGTGATAGATGATCCCCTGTGGTTTCCCCCTACAGGGAGCAACCTGAAGAAGAAGCAGCAGCAAATGTTCTTGAAACATCATGTTATAATTTTTAAGGGCATATCGCCCAGCCCCAATTTAAACTGAATAGATCTGTACTAATTCAGATGAATTTTAGTCTACAATAACACAGCACTTTGCAAGTTCTCATCGACACCCACAAGAACCCTAAAACAAGTATTTATATGCAAATGCCTTCAACATATTCACTCCTGCATGCTGTTTCAATACTGCAGTGCTATGAGACAGATACCATATAGAAGGATTTCACTTTGACTGTAACTGTATTTTTTGATTATTAAAGTTTTGCACCCTCAAATTGCATTTTAAATGTCTTTAAATAATCTGTAGTCACTATTTTTCCTCTATAAAAGTAACACAACGCGGATCAACGAGGTTTAAAGAAGATGGTAAGCTGTCTAAATGGGCACTTGTTGTTATTACTATAAAACAGAGTGTACCTCCACGTGTATTAGACATCGTGAGATGATAACCTGGGACAAAAAGGTCGTGGTCTGCTGAACCCTACTTTCTGATGATGTTCGAAAGTTTTTAGCACGACAAACAGTAACTCAGTAACATTAACAGTAACATATGGACTGACCGCCAGTCTAGGTAGAGCTCACCTCTTCCGCAGATTACAGTTACTGTGCATAGTCAGGTTTATCAGTTCAGCACCTTACAGCTTTAACTCTGACCACTTTACGAAGACTACTTCCCAGCTAGTCACCTTTACGCTGTTCTGAGAGAGTCACATCACCCGTTAGCCGTGTTAGTGCGCAGAAGATGAGCTGCTTGACGGTTTTGTGCTAACTAGCTAGCAGGTGGAGCTAGCAACCCTGACCGCCCTGCTGGTGCTGCTGCTGCTAAGCTGAGCTGTCATGGGGTCACCAAGGCTCGATTTCAACTTTAATTTCATAAACTCAAATGAGGATTTCAGGTATTATCAACCTCAATAATATATACAAACGATAAAGACGGCTGTCGTACCTGTTTGACGAGAAGTAATGTGTATTTTGAGTTATAAAATTGCTTCTACGAAACCAATGCCAGTTCCTCAGTAAATAGTAAACGTTTTCTTCTTTTTCCTAAAACGGCTGCTGCGAGCTGTATCAGTCCGTCGGCGCCACCGTTCGGTCAGGAGTGATTATTGCGTTGGAGAATTTCTTAATTCACTTAAAATAATAAAATAATATTTTATTTTTTGCCATCTATAAGTTTAAAAAAAATTGAGTCATTATGGCCTTAAAATTGGAATTTCACGTTTTCTCAATTCCAACTTATTTTCTCAGACATTTGGGTTAGTAAGTTTAAAAAAAACACACAAAAAAAAAAAAAAAAAAAAAAAAAAAAAAAAAAAATATATATATATATATATATATATATATATATATATATATATATATATTCCAACATTCGAAAGAAGGGACTGCTCTCACAGCTAGAGATTGACGAGGTACAACACAAATGCTACGGCAAGGAGGAGTCAGGACGCCAGGTCAGGGGGGAGATATCATCACCCCCACCCGAGATTGGGTACATAGCCCCAAGTGCGATAGGAGAAGGATCGTTGAGTGCCAGAGGAACTGACCTGAAAAATAGGATCATGGCCAAGCTTGAAACCTGGATCCCCCGTAGCCGGTTACCAAGATTACGTGAAGTACCCTCAGAAGGTCTGCTAGATGATGTTAATGCAGCACTACGGGCAATACCTACAACCACAATTACCGACACTAACAAGCTGATCTACAATACGGCAGCAGTGATCAGTGAGATGCTTGGCTACAAGTTGAACAGCCACAAGGGGCAGTACCCTCCATGGAGAAGGAGGCTAGAGGGCAAGATCAAAGTAGCACGGAGGGAAGTTAGCCAACTAACGGAGTTGCAGAAAGGTGCGACAAATAAGGTGCCTAAGAAATACAGCAAGCTGTCCATACCTGAGGCCTTGGAAACTGCCAAGCAAAGACTCACAGCCTTGGCCAGCCGGTTGAGGAGGTACACCAGAGAGATAGAAGGCAGGAGAATAAACCAGCTGTTCTCCACAGAACCAGCAAAGGTGTACTCTCAGTGGCAAGGGAACAATAAGAGAATAGCACCACCAAGGCTGGAGACGGAGCAATACTGGAAGAGCATATGGGAGAAGGATGCAACCCATAACGGCAATGCTCAGTGGCTAGAGGATCTGAGGGCAGACCACAGCGACCTCCCTGAACAGGGTCCAGTAACCATCACAGTGGCAGATATCCAAGAAAGGGTCTCCAGTATGAAGAGTTGGACAGCACCAGGGCCCGACATGGTTCACGCCTACTGGCTGAAGAAGCTGACTGCACTCCACGAGCGTCTGGCAGCACAAATGAACCAGCTACTAGTTAACGAAAGACACCCGGAATGGCTAACTGAAGGCCGGACGGTCCTGATCCCCAAGGACCCCAAGAAGGGACCGGTCCCCTCCAACTACCGACCAATAACCTGCCTCAGTACTACATGGAAGCTCCTGTCAGGCATCATATCGGCTAAGATGAACAGGCACATGGGTCAATACATGAGCGGGACACAGAAAGGAATTGGCAAGAATACCAGAGGTGCAAAACACCAGCTACTGGTAGACAGAACAATCAGCCGAGACTGCAAGACCAGACTGACCAACCTGTGCACTGCCTGGATTGATTACAAGAAGGCCTATGACTCAATGCCCCACAGCTGGATACTGGAATGCTTAGAATTGTACAAGATCAATGGGACCCTAAGAGCCTTCATCAGGAACTCAATGGGGATGTGGCATACAACACTAGAGGCCAACTCCAAGCCCATAGCACAAGTTACCATCAAGTGCGGGATCTACCAAGGAGATGCTCTGTCCCCACTGCTGTTCTGCATAGGCCTGAACCCCCTCAGTGAGATCATTAACAAGACTGGCTACGGATACCGACTACGGAACGGAGCAGTTGTCAGCCACCTCCTGTACATGGATGACATCAAGCTGTATGCCAAGAGTGAACGAGACATCGATTCACTGATCCACACTACCAGGCTATACAGCAATGACATTGGAATGTCGTTCGGACTGGAGAAGTGTAGTCGGATGGTAACAAAGAGAGGGTAGGTAGTCAGAACTGAGGGGATTGAACTACCAGAAGGCAACATTGCAGACATAGAGGATAGTTACAAGTACCTGGGGATCCCGCAGGCAAATGGGAACCATGAAGAGGCCGCTAGAAAGGCTGCAACCACCAAGTACCTGCAGAGGGTCAGGCAAGTCCTGAGGAGTCAGCTGAATGGTAAGAACAAGATCCGGGCCATCAACACATACGCCCTGCCCGTGATCAGGTACCCTGCTGGGGTAATAAGCTGGCCAAAGGAGGAGATAGAAGCCACTGACATAAAGACAAGAAAGCTCCTGACCATGCATGGAGGGTTTCACCCCAAGTCCAGCACCCTGAGGCTGTACGCTAAGCGGAAGGAAGGGGGCCGGGGACTGGTGAGTGTCAGCACCACAGTCCAGGATGAGACAAGGAACATCCAAGAATACATTGGGAAGATGGCCCAACTGACCGAGTGCTCAGTGAATACCTCAGGCAGCAGAAACCCAAGAAAGAGGAGGGAGACGAGGAACCATCATGGAAGGACAGGCCCCTGCACGGTATGTACCACCGGCAGATAGAGGAGGTGGCTGATATCCAGAAATCCTACCAGTGGCTGGACAAAGCTGGACTGAAAGACAGCACAGAGGCACTAATCATGGCAGCACAAGAACAAGCTCTGAGTACAAGATCCATAGAGGCTGGGGTCTATCACACCAGGCAAGACCCCAGGTGCAGGCTGTGTAAAGATGCCCCAGAGACAATCCAGCACATAACAGCAGGGTGCAAGATGCTAGCAGGCAAGGCATACATGGAACGCCATAACCAAGTGGCCGGCATAGTGTACAGGAACATCTGTGCCGAGTATAACCTAGAAGTCCCGAGGTCAAAATGGGAGATGCCTCCAAGGGTGGTGGAGAATGACTGAGCTAAGATCCTGTGGGACTTCCAGATACAGACGGACAAAATGGTGGTGGCTAACCAACCGGACATAGTGGTGGTAGACAAACAGAAGAAGACGGCCGTAGTGATCGATGTAGCGGTTCCGAATGACAGCAATATCAGGAAGAAGGAACACGAGAAGCTGGAGAAATACCAAGGGCTCAGAGAAGAGCTCGAGAGGATGTGGAGGGTGAAGGTAACGGTGGTCCCCGTGGTAATCGGAGCACTAGGTGCGGTGACTCCCAAGCTAGGCGAGTGGCTCCAGCAGATCCCGGGAAAAACATCGGAGATCTCTGTCCAGAAGAGCGCAGTCCTGGGAACAGCTAAGATACTGCGCAGGACCCTCAAGCTCCCAGGCCTCTGGTAGAGGACCCGAGCTTGAAGGATAAACCGCCCGCAGGGGCGTGCTGGGTGTTATATATATGTATGTGTGTCAGTGGCGGCTGGCCCATAGGGGGCGCTCGGGCTCCGCCCCCCAAATGTGGAGGAGTAAAAATATATATTTTTAAAAAATTCATCAATGATAGTTTTACTATGTGTGTGCCCATATACAGCCAGGCGTATTTTAACATTTTCACCAGCTGACTCATTAAAGTTCAACCAACAAACGGTGTTTTTCTTCTTCTGGGGCGCTCGTCAAAGCGCCCTTGATATGCAGCGAAATAGCCTATCATTAAATGGTTGCCAGGGGAAAATAATAAATATTTGACCTATCAGCGTCGCTGAATTAAATGGTTTGGGGGCGCTTAAAATTGCGCCCCTGCAGAAAACGCGCGAAGATTTGCTGTTCTAGAATTTTACCTCAGTCAGTAGCCTAAGTGAGCTATAAGGTCAGAGAGAGACGATGGCAGCGGTATTGTTAACGGTTGAGGCACAGCCTCCCCCAAATTCGGTTAGATCGCTTCTAACCTACCCTTTTGCCAGAAGGACAATGGCAGAAAAACTGCAAGTTAAAGAGTTGGGACCTGACAAGCCCGAAATTCAACTAACCCAGGCAACGAAGGAGAAGTCAAAAGCATACAACAGGACTTTTTGTCGGAGTTGGTTCCAGCGCAAGTCGTGGCTGACAGGCTGTGGAACAGCTAATGCACTTTTTTGTTTCCCATGCATACTGTTCAAAAGTGACAAGTGTGATTTGACGTGGACACAATCTGGACAAACCGACTTAAAGCACCTCTCCGAACGAATCAAGAAACATGAAAGCTCACGAGTTCATATGGACAACAGTGTAAAGCTAGCTGTGCTAGGGAAAACTAGCATAGCGGCGCAGCTAGATGATGGACATCGGATTGCTTTAAGAAGGCACAACGAAGAGGTAGATAAAAACCGTCATATTTTATCTAAAATCATCGATTGTATTAAGTTTTGTGGTGCTTTTGAGCTAGCAATGTGGGGACATGATGAAAGTGATTCCTCAGACAATCCAGGGATTTTTAGAGGTTTAGTCGACTTGATGGCATCAATTGATCACGACTTGAGGCAACACCTTGAAAATGCTACTGTATTTAAAGGCACCTCGAAAACAGTCCAGAACGAGATCCTGGATTGCATGTTGGCAGTTCTGAGAGAAAGGATCGTGGAAGAAGTAAAGGCAGCGAAGTTTTTAGCCATTCAAGCTGATGAAACCACTGACATTTCTACACACTGTCAGTTAGTCATGGTGCTAAGATACATTGACCAACGAAACCGTATTCAAGAGCGTTTTTTGAATTCATCAAGCTACCCAATGCTTGTGCAGATGCAATAGCCAGTGCCTTATCGGAGAGGCTGCGCTTCATCCTCCCCCAGGGACAAGAGAGAAAGTTGATCGCCCAGGCCTACGATGGGGCCGCTGTAATGAGGGGTACCACTGGAGGAGTGCAGCGTAAGATACAGGACATTTATGCTAACGCTCACTACGTACATTGTTATGCCCATCAGTTAAACCTGGTAATGCAACAAGCAACCTCCCACATCCCTCAAATCAGTCACTTTTTTTCCGACATAGCAGGATTCGCTTCTTTTTTTACTAAATCGAGCAAGAGGACTGCAGTGCTTGACGAG